AACATATAAATTATAATAACAATCCGTCACCATCTTAATTGCTCGAAACATAAAATTCCAATAACATTTTTATGAGAGGCACACATACGCTAAGGACGTGAACATTACTTTTTTATTGTCGCGTGCCCAGTTTCGGTGAGATTAGAGTCCCGATTTTGAACTCACCTGTTTTATACCGAATCGAGCCCCGATCGAGATTTACGATCTTTTCCCGAAACAATTCTGTGCAGTCATGTCCCATGCGGGGACACTTCCGGTGCTGCGCCGGCATCTCCGGAACGCGTAAAACCCGTTTCCACCGCAAGAACGGCCGCCGCGGTTCAATCAGTAAATTCAGCCGCAAGTGGAGTATCAACTTGCGGTATCGTGTATGTGTTCATGTATCTGTTCTGTCCGAACGCTGACTATCGCACCCTGGATCTATTTCGTCGGCGTTTTACGATCGTTCTTACTACCCCGCTACGTCTCCTTCTCTCATTCTATACGTTTGCTAAGCGCGATATCCCCTCTAAAGCTTTTTTCCCTTCGATAACCACAGAGATTTTCTTGCTTTCCTCGCAACGAAATATTTATCGCAGTGAGATATGACGATTAAACGAGGAAAAAAGTGACAGTAAGAGAAAGAACATTTTATTTGTACGTAAATTCTTGCACCCAAAAAAAAACATGTTTTGCTGATATAGATTTCTAGCTGTCACAACAAAAATATAGCGCTATTTTCTGCTAAAATATTGTTTGTCACAAATAGAATTTATTGCAGTAACGGTAAATATACCGATGAAGGGAGGCTGCTCCAATGACCTTGACTTTTACATATATGTTGTCAAGGTAATGATCCTAAGTGACCTTCAGGTGGTTTTAGCCGTCGCTCGTTATTCGTTAAAAAGAATATATATATATATATATATACATGTATATATGTATATATATATATTTATTTCAGATTCTTTTCCACGACTAGCTTTGTTTTACGATCGCGAGTCGTTCCCGCGCGCAAATACGCCGCGCAAATACAAATACGCCGCATCACACGCATTTTCTTTATTTCAGCTTCGTTTCCCGCGTATCTTCATATGATACACCCCTCTTCAGTTGTTCAGATTGCATTGTTCAAATACGTAATACTTAGTGCGTTACACGATTTTCGGAATGCGCCTTATCACTATAACAAGCTTCCTGCAGAGGATAAAAATCTGAGAGGATGGGAAAAACAAAAAAAATTATACAGCTCCATGTTAGATGTCATATAATCAAAATATTCGCAATATCAAACATATGTGGACGCTGTTATAACAAGCGACGAAATATTGTCAATAAACCGCGGTGTAAACCGTCACTCGTCCAGTGTGCAATTTGTTCATAAATAGACTCTTGTACGGAACGAATTAAGGATCGAATCTATTACTTAGGACCGAAATAACGAAACAAATTCTATTGGAACTTATTGTTAGAACGATAGAATCGTTACAAGTTTGTCTCTTGTTATTCTTTGGCGTCTCTGTGTCTGTGCGTTTCATTCATTAAAGCCGACACCAGTCTCACACGGAACAGTTCTAAAGTCAGATCGCGACGCCAGCGATCGGCATCACTTCTCGCCTGCCGTGGGCAACGAACGATGCATTTAAACAGTGTTTGATCATATCTCTATCCGATACATGCCGCGGCACCTTGAAACACGGATATCGCGCGACAATTTTCAAGAAACATATATCATCTGAAACAGAATAATGCAGATGTAAGCGTGATGCAGTGTCGATCGAAAATCTATACATTAATTAGATCAATATACATCGAGAAATAGTGCGAGCATACGATATTACTGATTGTGACTATCGTGATTCAACAACGAGTAGCTTGGCAAATGAGATGGCAGATGAAATTTATTTATATTCGTATTTATGACGTATCCGTCTTGCAATTTTTCCAAGTAAGGTCTCTGTGTCTAATACACTTTTCAGCGACATTAGAAACACTCTTGGAACTCTTCAATTGATATAGCAATGGATATTGATTGATACTTCTTTCAACTCGACAATATCTTTATAATTAACCAAAAACGATGTCACGCGATCCACGCGCTGTATAAGCGTATTTTCATAATTACTTCAATAATTTTTCAATTACTTCCTAATCATTTTTAGTCAAGAAATTTAAGTAATTTTTTCGAACGTTTTCTCAATATTTCTCACACAATGCATGAAGCATGTCTTAAAAAATTGCGCAAAATAATTATTATAATACAATCATTGAGAACGTCATTATATACTGTCGTAATGAAACCTATTGAATCTAACAGTAGATAAGAGCGTCTTTTTGTGCATTTTCTGTGTCCCAGATATTGCTCAGGATAGTGAAAAAGATTTCTATTTTTTAACTTGATTTTTAACTTAATAAAATATTTTTTTTAAATGTAAATACATAAATATTATGTTAAATTGCCGCATATTACATTATGCTACTACACATACGCATATATATTTTCCCTGCAATTCTCCTCTAAATTGCTTTAGTTTTTGCATACTGCAAATATTGTAGAAATTCTGACTCCCTTAATTTATACTCGTGACTCCTTAAAATATATCCGATTTTTAGATTACTCGAACCGACTTTTGCTTGTATTCCAATATTCGGAACGCGAATGTCAATGATCAGCATTTCGCTGCTGAAAACGAGTGCTGCAATGAAAAAAATAACATTTACCGTCGACCGTCGTTAAGCAGTGCGCTATGTGTCGCATAAGTACAATACAACCCAAGTACGCAGACAGATCGTCTCTGTCCGCGGTCGGATGAATTCAATCGTAAAACCTCAACGTTCCGTCCAAAGCCGCGGTGCCACCTCCACCCGGACGGCTATACCGTCGCGCGAAAGCCATCCCTTCCTAAACCACCCGTTTCCCGCGCGTCGCTCACCCCCTTGATATGACTGTCGTGTCCGCTATCCTTACCGCGCGACGTGCTCCCACCCCGCGTCGTTCGTGGCCAGCATGTATTTCGCATTTCGCGTCGTGTCGCCGCTACCAGCGGGATCGGAGGGATAGACGGAGGGACTTTTTCGCGCATGCGCAACAGTGTCATATGACGTACGCGTAATACTTAAGTGCATGACCCTAAGTAGCGTATATGCTCCACAGAGATACGTGGTGTCGTTCAGGCCCGTCAGGGGAGGGAAGTATAGGAAGTATCAGGGAGACGATATGCGCGGGAGACTGCCGTCGTCATTGAACAAATAATGTAATTCGCCAATATTCTAATTTGACATTCCGCAGGGATGACTGATCCGTATATACAGTTATTTATTCGGGTTTAGCAAACCCATGGAATCGAGCTCATGGTACACTACACTGCGCGGACACTCACATATATACTTACATCATATTTAACCCGTAAAGGGGTTAAATGCTTGAGTGCGATTCGCATCAAGCGAATTTTTTTAAAGTTTTATATCTTCTGAAAATAAAAAACAAAATTAAAGCAAAATGTGTTTCTCAATGTAAAATTTTTTGACCCATCGATTGGTAATATTAAATTTTCGAAAAAAGAACGTAATTGTTTTCAAATTTCGTGTTAAACAAAACCATTCAAAAGAGACGTATCCTTTACGGGTTAATCATACATATTTTTGTAAGCGATAGTGCAGTTTAAGGATACCTAGGTGCGAATTCGCACTAAGCGAATTTTTTTAAAGTTGTTATCTTCTGAAAATAAAAGCAAAATTAAAGCAAAATGTGTTTCCCAATGTAAAATTGTCTGACCAATCGATTGGTAAGATTAAATTTTCGAAAAAAAGAACGTAATTGTTTACAAATTTCGTGTTAAACAAAACCATTCAAAAGAGAGGTGTCTTTTACGGGTTAAAAAGAAGTAGAAGCAAGATATAACCGAAGATAATGATAAAAAGAAAAAAGTACTAATTCCATGTATGTTTGATATAAATGGAAATAACAACGAAATCTAAAATTCATTTTTATATTACTTATCTAAAAAAAATAAAATTTCACTTACAATTAGACGGTTACAATAAAATTGATTAATTTTCTGCGTCTATATGATACAAATATCTAGACGGATTTAAATTATAGATTTAGATGTTTGCTTTCCAGATTTATATTTTACAAGTTGTAATTTGCATTTTTTAATTTTACTTAAAAATCATGCGAAACTTACATAGAAAGGAAAAGGATAATATTAATTTTATGTGCTAACAGTAAACTTATTTCATTTGTAATACATAAATGTACACTGCATTCAACATTGTTCTTAATATTTTTCTATTGCTAATGCAGTAAAGGAAATAAAACATTAAAACACACACGCACATAACATACAGGGCCCCAAGAGCGCCCTACCTTCTGCCTAAGTACGAGGTTGCCGAGTCAGTCACGTGGTTCCCGGTGCACTTGCGATGGAGATGGCTAAGTGGTGGGAAAAATCCCTCCATCCACTACCCCCGGTTACCAGCGGTTTTAGTAAGTTACGGACTGCATGGAAGTGTGCATCGATCGTATTGACGGCTGTCTCTCGGCTGATCTCCGACGGTGTGTCGCGGTTTCGCTTTGCTCCGTTCTTTTCCTCTGTAATCTCGTGCCAGTCCCGTGGGACTCTCACTTCGCGCGGCGCCGATTTCCTGGGAAATCTCGAAACTATAGTTTCGTAAGTTCGTGGATTTTTGCCAACTCGTCAAGATTTAGTGACGACGGCGACGGCGACGGCGACGGATAAAGGAGGAAAAATACGCGCATTCGAAGGACGGCTATCCGACGCGGCGATAGGACAGTGTGATACGCGGCGCGGAGGAGAAACGAGACCTTGAACGGAGTGCGCGTGTGCGACACGAGTGCCCGCGGTTTTGCCGCCCGCTTTAATTGTCGCGCCACTACTTATCTTCTGCCGGCTCACACCTTCGTGTTCTGCATAGCGTACAGAAAAAAAAACGAACAGTTTATGTTGAAGGATAACATTCAGATATATATATATATATATATATATATAATATATGTGCACACATACACGTACATATCTCGCGTGTGAGCGAATAAAAGCGGAAGAAAGGTGCGCAAGAAGGGCGAGACGAGAACGCGCGCGCGAGAAAAGTGGCCAAAAAGGGAAGGATTGTCCATTTCCGGAGGCGGAGACTTCCTGCCGCGCTTTTCCCTTCCCTCTCTTAATTCCCCCCTCCCCTCCCCCGGCCCCCTCGTCGTCACTTGTATCACGTATACGATCACGAAGTGCCCACGCGACGCGACGTGCGTGCACCGTGGCACCGTGAAGGCGCACGTAACGGAGCTGCGCGGCGCCACTTCTCCAAAGCGCAGCCACTCGAGCGCGCACGTGTGCACGGCACTACACGGGATGCTGCGGCCGGCCGCGCGGTAACGGACGGAGCTGCGCGATTATTCCGCACGCCAGATATACGCAAAGGCGAGGGCGATCCCTCTCGATCAAGCGCGCCGCGCCGAATCGCAACGGCGGATCTCGCGTGTAATCATTAGATACAGTGTTGCTCTCGCGTGTGACGAGAGAGCCAGTGGACTCTCGCGTAAACAACGTTAATTTAGCCAAAGCCTTCATTGTACGGAAAATAGGCACTCTGACAGCCAGCAGGAGGGAGAGAAAGAGAGAGAGGCAGATGACAGGGTGAGTATCTATCGTCAAGAATTTATTTCTGCCTATCTGATTGTATTTAACCCAGCAAATACAGACTATAGCTGCAATGTTGCAGCAACATTAGTGCAACATTCCAGCTATATTGCAGCAACGTTGCTGCAACATTGTAGTTATAATTTGTGTTTGCTGGGAAGCGTATGCTGCGCGCGCTATTTTTTTTCGGTAAAACAACATAGTGTAGCGTCTACCGTCAAGGGGAGAAAAAACCGGACGCAGTAATAAAAGAAGGAAAAAAAAGAAAAACTACGCTTTAATTAAGAGTTACGTGTAAATTGACATGATTACTTAAGAGAACTTTACGTACGGCGCTATAACCGAGATGAGAGTTATTCCATTTTTGCGCGCGTGCAGCAACAGCAGCTTTGGCCGGAGTTAATAATACCGATATTAACTTTCATCCACTTTCTCGTGGAATAATTTACGACGAAGGAAATTCATTATAGTATATTTTAGCATTGTTCTTTTGTGGCAATAATTGTTCTTTTGTGGCAATATATTATATAGGAGCATGCCTAGCTTAAGCGCAGCTATAGCGTATAGGATGCTAATCATTGCGATATTACTGAAAAAAAAATTTGCATACGTTACATACACACGCTTATAAATTAAAAGAAAAGAAATACGCTCTCTCTTTAAATTATACTTTTTCCTCTACGTTACAGAATTGTGTTTATAACAACATGGATAACAATGTGAAAGGACGAAATGTATTCTATTGCTACTTTTATACGGCTCACGCTTATTTTTTAATAACTGTACAGTAACGAGTACTATCCACGTAAAAATATATACTAAATTCGAGGGCGCATTTCAATTTCGTATCAAACCCCGTTTTCGAGAAATCTCGCATGCAAATTTTACGACACAGTCACGCAACGCCGCCAAGTTCGCGGCGACGCGAAAGTTTCGGTTGCCTTATATACAAGGAAATTTGCAGCTTGCGAACGTTTACATACGACTCTGTTTCATTGCGCGCTTTTGACCTATAATAGTTCTTAGTTTATGAAGTTATTATTACGGTCAAGTCACTTTAACTGTATCAATCTCGCGCGATTTTTTATTCAGTCGCCATCGACCTCATTACAAGGAAACTGCAATTTCGGACCAGGTTAACGATAATGGAATAAAGAACGCAATAAAAATTTTATGAATATGTGCTAACGCGACTGTCTTATAGTTTTAGTTTTTGTAAAGAGATTATATTAGACTATATTAAAAATATATTAGAGATTTCTCTAGTATAGTTTTATAAAATTAACAAAATATTGTTTTGTCAATATATTAAATTATAAAATATATGTATCGTATATTGTAATAATAATAATGAATCCTAATAAGCATGGATATATTTTTTTACAATCAATAATTATAACGATAAAGATAACATTATTAATGGGAATAATGATAATGATAAACAAATTTACTGATAAATTAAAATTTCAATAAATTAGAAGAAGTAAGAACAGGCAAAGGTGTGACGTCAATACTAGAACAAAGTTAAGAAAAAGAAATCTGACAAGTTAGATTAGGCGAGGTTCCCGATATAGTCACTCGCAAAAGTATTTGAACAAGTTAAGTCTATTTAATAACAAACGAACGTATATTTTTTTAATCTAATTTTAATGGTTTTATATTATCTGAAACGTACATTTAAATTAAATATAAATTAAACATGTAATTTAATGCTCTTTGCGTGTTAGCACATATCTTATTAAATATATAGCAGAGAAATATGAAATAATTACACGAGGAAGTTCAGGAGAACGAATGATAACGCGAACGAGAATAATGCGCACGAAACCGCGAAAGTTATGCTGAAAGTATAATTTTTTCACGTTCTCGTGCGGTTTACCCGAAAGTACGACTTGCGCGAGTGACTGTACAGATGGCATCTGTGCCGACGTGCCAGGAAGTCGTCGTTAGATAAAAAGTCGCGCGAACGCGATACAATGTAACGAGACGGAGATGTATTTGCTTCCAACCGCGATACAGTTGTGTTCCCATCGCGAGTCCATTTCAGGAGATCGCGTTCGCGATGTCATGCCGATAAACGCGGCATACGCGCGATTTATCTCGATCCCCTCTCGCGAACGTATACAGTCGGATGTACTGTGTAATTGGCGCATATAGTAAGATACGTGCTGTGCTTTTCAAGAAATTTCAGTTTTACAGCTGCTTCCAGTTTCTAAACATATTATATTTGTAGATAGATATATCTCTGCGTGCAGTGTGCCTTATAGCAATTTTTCTGTCTATAACTTTAAACAGAGATTTAATAAATGTTGTTGTTTCCTTGCAATAAGCAATGCTAGACTGGATAGAATTGTCATGGATTTCTTTGTAGAAAACGTAACGTTATCAAAAGCAAAATTATACAGAAATATTCTGAATTTCAGAAATCTGAAGACACTTTCTTTTAGAAATCTGCACGGATAAAATTAATTGCGCGAATATATCCTTTATCATTGCAAACTCGAAAAATCTTTACATTACTATTAAATTATTCGAGATTATTCTTTTGTAATTCTATGCAGAGCTCTACGTTGCTTCTGGCTAATGCAACATGAATAATTGATTGCAGAATGCATTATGAATTATTTGACTCTGTAAGCGATACTCGCGTATCACGTACGGATTTAAAATTCTTGCAGCCATTATTATTATCATCACAAAGAAAAGCAATAGTCACTATCAGTCTGCGCTGTAAGAATTATATCATCGTTGACATTTTCTACAACGTTTGTTGAAACTTGCAATGAGCTGAATGTTTTATGCTTAAAAATTAGAAAAAAAATACGGATAACAACGAAGCAGTGTTTCGCTATACATCGTCCTTAAAAATAGTATAATTTCAGTCTTCAATATATCGCAAAGAATATTTATTATTTACTTTGACTATTATGTATGCATTGAGACGTGCACTTCAAAAGTAAAATCTTAATATATCAATTTTATTATGAATTAGTTGTCAATGATTCATTTTGTATAACCATTTTTTTTTATTGTTAAGCGTATAACGATTCATTGACGGTACAGAAATATGTACAACACACTTATGACATGTACACGCATGAAATATAAGAAGTATAAGAAGATTAGTTGCTCAATAGAAGATTTGCTGTTCAATACATCATTACGATTCATGTAATAATGATGCAACGCATACGAAGTATATTTCGAAGCGACTAAGATTCTCAATTGCGAAGTGTAATGGAAAATAATATTTACGAAGTTTTTATTTTGCATTTTGGATGTCTTAAACAATAATATAGCAATTATACGACCGTACATATACGATGTAATAAACCTTCCTACAATAATTTCTGCCCGTCTGATTTTATCTGATGTCTTCTTGTTTTCTCAGTAACGGCACTGTGATTTGCATATCGTATTATTCTTAGTTTCAATGTAAGGGAGTATGTTAATTTAAAATAATTAATATCTTCAAAAAATCCTATGTTTCTTGGAAAATTATAATTGGCTACGCGATTCTGCTTAAAATATATTTTCTATTGCATTCTCGCACTCGTTAGATTGAATAATTATCTTTAATTTGTATCTCCACTTTAATTGTATCTCCACTTTTACTATTTTATTATTTTTTTTTGTAAATGTTGATTTTTTTGCACAAAAATCATAATTCGTTTTCATGTTAATTATCAAATTTTATAGTTATTTACAATTTTTTATAATTATTTATATTTATAAGCGATTACTGTATATAATTCGTATTTTGTGTACATAATACAATTAAAGCATATATTTAAATCGTTTGCATGGGATATATATTTTCTACGTAAACTTTCTCTATAAGGTTGTACACGACTTATTTTATATATGCACAGCTGGTGATAACACTTATAGCATGTTGTTCTTCTGCTGTTAGAATGTCTTCGTTCGATAAAACGATCACGTTCTATAAGTGACATCAGCTACTACATAGGTTGAAAAGTTTCTGGAATTTGATACAAAATGGCATATACAAAAATATACATCATATACAAAAATTAATCTTATGGTTGTCGAATATATTCCTTCCAACCTTCGCTGTCAAAATTTCATGACATTTCACCGAATAGTTTGTGAGTTACAGTCATTTGAACAAGTCAACGTTTGAGTTTTTTAAAAAATGAAAAAAAATCCATTGAAGACTTCAATGATTTCTTGAGGTTTTAAGTCTTTCAAATATTGATATTTGATCACTGCACAAATTTCGGTTTTTTTTATTTTTTAAAAAACTCAAATGTTGACTTGTTCAAATGACTGTAACTCACAAACTATTCGGTAAAATGTCATGAAATTTTGACAGCGGAGATTTGAAGGAATATATTCGACAGCCATAAGATTAATTTTTGTATATGATGCCATTTTGTATCCAATTCCAGAAACTTTTCAGCTCATGTAGTATATGTATTCTTTATAGATTTATAATATTCACTTCCAGATAATTTGAAGAACAAACGCGACAGTTTTTTTGTTTGATTATTATTTATCGATATTCTGCTGGCACTGCAAAAGTAAAGTAAATATACATGTGCATTTTTGTGGCGCATAAATTATTTGGGGTTTTAATTCTATAGACTGGTCACGGTTAAGTGACCAGAATAAATTATAATATAAATAGTAAATTGCAAGCAACATCTTTTCGCGACGCTCCATGAACTCCGTGGAATCTGAATTTTGCTCTATTTGGGATGGTTAACTGTTCTTTTTATCTGCGATTTGCGATCTTTCATCCTTAGATAAGCTACAAATGTTTAACGAAACAAGTTTTGATGTGCTATATTTCTCTGGTATGGCATGGCATATCTTTTACCTCACCTCACTTGCCATGACCATATCTGCAGCGATGCCAAGAGAAAACGTATCTTTACCTTCGCGAGGTCGTGACTCCCGTGTCCTTCATAGTGGCTTTAGCCGTGTCAAGATTTATCATAATTTTTGTAGAGATGCAGACCTTATCCATTATCCATTTCAAGCTCGGATATCCTTTATCTCGAGGCTCGAATACACGAGAGGGCTAATAGATTTTACGGAATTTCGTTGTTGCACATGTTTCAGGTCCAAAAACATATTTTTACAATACCGCACTTTTTGCAAATTTTAGCTAAAATATGTCTTATGAATTTAGATGTAATTGCAAGTTTTCATTAAATCGTCTTTTCCTTCTTTTTCTCATATTTGCTATCTGCTAGAGCGTCATTATATATATATTGCCACACAGTTTAATAATTCTTTAATTTTAATTATTTTCTTTTTTACTATTTGAATGGTCAAAATAGTTTATTTTTTGTGTGTTTCAGAAAGTAGAATTATATGGATGTCTGGATAGCGATACAAAGGATTCATAGACGCAACTCCAGGCATAAGGAATAACAATCGCCGTTATCTCATTTGAGTGAGAACAAACGTCCGATTCTCGGCAAGAGATCCGATCATTGTGACAAGGGGAGATCCCATCTTTTCATCCATTAATATGAAGATATTAGCGAAACATTCGAGCAGAAATAATGAAGAAAGGAGAACAACAAGTAGTGAAGATGAGAGTGGATCTGTGTCATCAAATTCGAAGTCCAAAACTATAAGTGGGCGGATGAAACCGACATGCGGGCGATGCCGTGTTCACGGATCGAAAAATGTTCCACTCGACAAACATAAGCCGGTCTGCCCATATCGAGAGTGCAAATGTGCATTATGCTATGTTTTTCTGGCGAATCAGAGATTATCGGCGGACAAGATAGCTCTGAAGCGAGCGCAAGATACGATTAAAGCCAAAAAATATAATCCTTATGAGGTTAGTTCTCCTTTATCTCTCAAAATACGGTGTGTGACAATTAATGCGGAAAGCGTGCAAACATTGTGGTTGCGAACAATTGATCAAATATTCATTCGCTATCTCGGGGGATGTGTTTTTATTATCGATAACAATTTAGTTTAAACCTCCTTTTGTACAATGTTGTAGGACATTGCAACATTTACACTTTTAGAGAGCAACTTGTAGATCTAATATATATATATTTTTTACTGATTTTGAAAAAAAACTTTAATAGAGTTTACATTTGAATATGAAACACTCGAATATAAATTCAAAATAATTATCGCATAAATAATAATAATTAATGACTGACATTAAATGCTGCCAGTTCAAGTTGATATTGTTACAAATATATAGTTCTAAATTATTAAAAAAAACTATTTATTCATCACCAATATTGTACTAAGATTATTGCGGATGTTTAGACATTCGGCTTTAAATAAGAGGATTGTCTATACACAGAATTTGCAGCATTGATCAGCGCGTAAATGCTGTGAACTGAGGCCGCGACTGAAACGATTGTTAATTTTTTTATTTTCGCTAGACCTAATTCATTTTATGAAATCTAAATGAATACACTAAAGCTTTGTTTTGTAATTTCGAACAATTGCGTAAATACGTTTTGCGCGCGAGCTATTTATTATTTTTATGTTGAAACCGAACGATTAGTCTGTAAATTTATCTGGGAATAAGCAGATTTTTAATTTTTAATCTTGTTATCTTGTAATATAACTGCACATCGCAACCGTAATGTATTTTCTATTACCTGTATACTATTATTTTCGTTCTTTGTTGACAGGTGTTACCAACATTGCCTATGTTTTTCACCGAGCACAAAGGATGTAAGTAATATGACATATTATATATTACATAGTAAACTCGATAGTAAATGTTTATTGCATAGATGAAACAAATGACAATTTATTTGATATAAAGGAATTTGAAAAACTGGCAAAAATAAAAATAAAGATATGATTTACCTCATTGCGAGCTTCAGAAATGTAGAGATTATGTCTTTTTTTTATATCTCAATATTAAGGCAATACTTCTGATATAATCTTCAGAATATTACGCAAACAGTTAGTGCATAATTAGTATGAGCGATGAGAACTTGTTAATTTACGTAGTAATTTAACGAATATAATTATGCAAAATGGATAAGCACTTATGTTATCTGCGAGTGTCACGACAAATTAAATTAAAATACACGATTAGACCGTATCTATGTCGAGTCACGTCGTGAACTGTTCTTATTTGCGATAGTGATAGCACGCATCTAAAACCATGTCGCGTCACGTCGCGTCGTCACGAATTCACCTGATACTTTATGTCATTCAATGCGCGCCTGATATACAAGATGAAATTCGTCTGGCATTTGAATATCACGCCTAGATCATAGTGGCACTTATAATGTATTATTTATCCGATAATATCGCGACCTTTGCATCTTGATGTGCCAGTTGTATATTATAGTGTGATTAGGAACGGAGACTCTATAATCAAATATCATGATTCTAAGATTGCCTGGCTCGCGCTGTAGAGTCCGAATTCTGCGTATAAAGTTAACGCAGATCAATGCGTAACTTGAATATATACGTTTTACTCGCACGCTTATTCTAAAAATTTGAAAGCTATCCTTAGGTTTTCCAGTAATTATTCGCGGTCTTTTAAAAATATTTTGAATAAGATATAATTGTTTTAGATTTTTTTAGCGCTGTCAATTTTCTTGTATTTATTTTTAATAGCTCTGCAATCGTGTAATTTCAAAGTCATATAGTTAATTGCTCATAGCCAGTGTTAATGTATCGTAAGCAGCTTGTTCTTCAAATTTCGTTATATTAATTTTAAATCTTATATTACACATATGCCCTTCTAGATCCAAGATCCCTCATCCACTTACAAAAAAAGTATAGTTTTTGAAAATATATACATTTACATCGCGGAAATATGTCTTAATGTGCATGCTAATTGCTTATTTTATCGCCGTGCACCTATATGGCTACATGACGAACGTGCACACACATGCACGATGAGAACTGAGATTGCCTACCTGTTGCACACATTCTCTCCCGGTATCTCCCATCTTTCGTGCACTTGCAAAAATGCATCCTTTACTGGAGGTAGTACATTTTAACTGTTATTTGAAAATTTATGTAACGTTAAAAAATTACACAATTTTTTTGTTTCCGATTTCTGAATACGATTGAAAGAATGCTCGTCATCGTGCGCGTTCGTCGCACATCGCGCGTTTCATTAAAATTACGAAACACTTTATGTCGACCACAAATACATTAAAATAACCAAGATTTTGTGAATTAGTAATAATACAGTTCGTGCGTACGTGTGTGTGTGTATGTGTATAATAACAACAGAAAAGATATTAGTACTTCCTATTGATATCATATCGCGAGGAACGCCAAAGTGACGTAACTATTTATAAGTTCGTGTAAAGCAGAACACGGCATACCAGCGGTACCAGATTAGCGCTGATCAATTTATCGACTTAAATCGTGCGTAACTGTTTATTAAACAAGTAAGATCTAGTCATTACACAACTCTTTAGCGCGAGAAACGACGGCCCATGAATTTTGTTATTCACGCGCGACGTTTACGTGTTGAGGAATGCACGACTCTTTGCGGTTGTCTGGCCTTTTACCGGGCGATCCTCACGAAAGCACGACGAAACGTCAAAGTTCACGAACCGCGAATGGTAGCCGGCTGCATTTCGCTCCTGGATGATACCGCTCCTACGATTGTAATCAAGCGAAATAATTATAGAATAAATTTATAGTGGCGAGAGATAGTGGGACCACCTCCTCCGTCGCGGAATCTCGGAACAAAGATCGGCATTCAATGCACTCAGGCAAAGAAGAGGTTATTGCTTACCCCTACGCGTACACTTTGAACCGTTATATCGTACACGAGCATCAAAATGTCATTTGATGAGGAAGAAAGAGAGATCGTCTTTCATGGAGGAACAATTCTCACACTGTCCCCGGGATTACTAAATCGACCGAGTGCGTTTGACATTCTCAATTTCCTCGCCTCATCCTTCTCTTATAGATTGTGAATTGTAGAAGCGTGTCAGCCCGGAAAACTTTTCGCTTGCAAATAAGCAAGGTATCACTGAACGTATTGCAAAGAGATCGAATTACGTCGATCGCAAATCCTATGTACGAAAGAGATTACGGTGTGGAAACTTTTCGGCTAACGATTGTGCCGCGGTATCGGTATTTTGTCCTGCTTTTCAATGATAATATACGCGCGGAGAGCCCACGCGCGTCGTGCTGTCGCATTTGTCATTGTCGCCTCTAAGTTCGGAGCGCAAGTGTTCGATGTATAAGCGAACGAGCGTATACATAATGTCGTTCACACAGGGATCCTAACGAAATTCAAGCCACTCTTTCACTTGACAACCCAACCGAATGTTAACCCTGGTTTTACGAGCGTCCCCATTGGCCGGCGGGCCATGCAAACCCAGCTAATATAATACGAACTTATAACCAAAGCCGAAACCTAGGAGCTCGCTCTCGCTTTTACGAGCTCCAGCTCGTTTTTAAAAGTTATCGTTATTTTGCTCATTTTTGGACGAAATAGTTTGTTCCCGGACGTAAATGGGTTAAAGGAAAGTTTGCGCGCAGGACTAACCGCTAAACTTGAATTGACAACAGTTTGTTCTCTTTCCAAGAAAGAGAAAGAGAGAGAGAGAGAGAGAGAGAGAAAATATGTATACGTTTGCAACTTCTCACTAGGATAATATCACGGAACTATAAAGACTTTTTACGAGAACGAAGAAATGTGGTGGTAAAAAAGGAGACAGCGCGTGATGACATTTTTCGTGAATGTTCATCACTGCACTGAGAGAAAAATTTTTGGTATTTGTAACTATAATTACAAAGTACTATAATTATGAATATTACTACTATAACATTAGTAATAATAATTATATATGTATATATGTATAATAGTTTTATCAACAAATATATATAATTGATGTCACTTACTATACATTATAGTTATTATTACCATAAAAATGGTTGTAATTATTTAACTATAATTTATAGTCATTTTTAGGGCCAACCATATAAAATATAGTTGGCTCCTAAAAATGGCTATAAATTATAGTATTAAATAATAATAATTGTAATCATTTTGATGGTAATAATAACTATAATGTATAGTAATTAGTAAGTTTTAATATCAACTATATATATATTTGTTAATAAAACTATATATATATATAATTATTATTAACATTATAGTAATAATGATCATAATTATAGTACTTTGTAATTATAGTTACAAATATCAAAAATTTTTCTCTCAGTGTGATCTCATTCTCTCATTCGTGGTGTTCGCATAATTTTTCTTGATGCCCGACCTTGAAAGATGATATATTATTTGCATTTTTGTCGAAATCTCAGAGATAAGAATAATTTATTTTCGTATTTGAGAGATCACCGGGAATTTCGCTTTCCCTCGTGCTTACGTGAGCTCCGAGATGCACCGCGGTCCGTCCGGACCGGCCGTAAACGCGGGCTGATTAATTTACAGCGCATACGTGCGCGGGTTAACCGCCGGGGTTAACCACGGAAATTAACAGGTATCTTCGTGGTATCGTGATCGGTGATAATGGAAAAGTGGCGCGGTACCCGATTATATACGGAAAGTCGACAACCCATAGCGTCGTGAAGGTGTTATGCCTCACAACTCCGGGGATGATTACGACGAGTATATGGGGGTTGTAAAGTTTGTCTTTACGAGCTTGCATTTCGAGATATTGAGTAGAGGCTTTTAATAACGCAGCGCTCGTCGTTAGTGCGGAGTGGCTACGTGACCTACGAAATTGTAACGTTTGCTTCACAATGAAATTAAATAAGAAGTTGCTTTGTTCGGCATTTTCGGACATCAAATTATACAGACATATGTAGAAAGTCTTATAATATTTTTTTCACATATCAATTGTGATCAGCCGGCCGAATTTATTGCTTTTTACATTTATTGGGCAAAAAGTGATGATAAACATTAGTCAATTTTCTCTTGTTAAACAAGCTCCGTACAATTGTTGCACTCACAATAATTAAACACGCAGTAAACTGTTTTAGAAACATATTTTTGAAGAATGTTGAATATGCTGCCCCACTTGGAAAGTAACTACTAATTTTATGCCTTTTTGTATTATTTTATATATTTTCGCATCTAGTTAATGAGCATGAAACTCAGAGGATATCTCGAAGGAAGAGAAATCTAAACCACAGATTTTTTTTACTGCATGTTTTACACGTATCAATGGACCTATTATCGTTCTCGGAAAGTTAATCTGAGGAAAACGGTTTGCGGTTACACCGAAAGAAACGAGAAGGATTCTTGTATTCTTATTACTGATCATCACGAGACTTTTACGATCGTTAACTCTCTTTCGGTATGGACCTAACTGAAAATCCTACTCGTAAATCTCGCCCGTGGACCCTGGTGTGTTGGTTTCCCTTCTTGCTTGGCCAGCGCGTGATGACATTTCGTTTAGACTAATCCATTTACAAAATTCGAGCGTCATTTTTGCGGGTCCTTTGATCGAACCGAGAAAAATTGGATTTATTGCACGAAACGGTCTAAAAATAGAATCGCTCTTTCTAAGGATGCACGTGCCTTTGAGATGGCGTTTGTGACATTTCTAGATTACTCTTGATGTGCTAACAATAAAAGTGCGTTAGAAGTATATATATACTTTGATTAGAGCAAATATTACCATTCTTAAGTAATGTAATAGGTATATTCATGTATTAATTGTTAGACTATTTTTAAATTTTTTTGTATTTTCTCAAATATGACGTGATGTCAAGAC